ATGGGTCACAGAAGAAATTAAACAAGAAATTCAACAATATCTATAATTCAATGACAATTCAAGCACAACTTATTGAAATTTATGGGATACGATGAAAGCAGCTCTCAGAGGGAAATTCATAGCTGCGAACTCACACATTAGGAAAACAGAATTGGAACAAATAAACACCCTAATTCTGCACCTCCAACAACTAGAAAAGGAAGAGCAAACTGAACCCAGAGCCCAAAGACGGGAAGAAATCATAAAGGTTAGAGCAGAAATTAATTCAATTAAGATGAAGAAAACAGTTCAAAGAATTAACAAAACAAAAAGCTGGTTCTTTGAAAGGTTAAATAAAATCGATAAGCCCCTAGCTAACCTCATCAAAAAGAGGAAAGAAAAATTCAAATACAAGCAATAAGGAATGAAAAGGGTGTAATTACCAGAGACCCAGTGGAGATTCAGAAGATTATCAATAGCTGCTTTGAAAATCTTTACTCTCATAGAATAGAAGACACAGAAGAAATAGACAGATTCCTAGAAAGATACAAATTACCAAAACTGAATCGAGAAGATATAACCTCTCTCAATTGCCCAATAACAGCCAATGAAATAAGAGACGTAATAAAAAATCTACCGGCAAAGAAAAGTCCAGGTCCGAATGGATTCACAGCTGAATTCTACAAGAAATTTACAGAAGATGTAGTCCGTATAATCCTCAAACTCTTCAATGAAATTGAAAAGGAAGCAATCCTCCTAAAATCATTCCTGGAGGCAAGTATAATACTGGTACCAAAACCAGGGAAAGACACAACTAAGAAAGAGAACTACAGGCCAATCTCCCTCATGAACATAGATGCAAAAATTATCAATAAAATCCCAGAAAATAGAATACAGCAAATCATCAAGAAGATCATACACCATGACCAGGTAGGATTCATCCCAGGAATGCAAGGATGGTTCAATATTTTAAAATCTATAAATGTTGTACACTATATCAATAGAGCGAAAACTAAAAACCACATGATGATCTCAACTGATGCAGAAAAGGCTTTTGACAAAGTTCAACACCCATTCATGTTCAAAGTCCTACAGAAAATTGGAATAGATGGCCTTTACTTCAATCTGGTAAAAGCCATTTATGAAAACCCAACTGCTAACATAATTCTAAATGGGGAAAAACTGAATACTTTTACTCTTAGATCTGGTACAAGAAAAGGATGTCCTCTATCACCACTCCTATTCAATATGGTTCTGGAATCATTAGCTAGAGCCATTAGACAAGAGAGAGAAATAAAAGGAATAAGAAGAGGTAAAGAAGAAGTTAAATTATCTTTATTTGCAGATGACATGATACTTTACTTGGAAGGCCCAAAAAACTCCACGAAGAAGCTACTAGAATTAGTACAGAAATTCAGTAGCATAGCAAGATACAAAGTCAATACCCAAAAGTCAATAGCATTCCTCTACACAGATAACAAACACACTGAGAGGGAAATTATAGAAACAATACCTTTTACAATAGCACTGTGGAAAATGAAATACATTGGAATTAATCTAACTAAAGAAGTCAAAGATCTTTTCAAGGAAAATCACTGTACTCTTAAAAAAGAGATAGAGGATTTCAGAAAATGGAAAGATATTCCATGCTTCTGGATAGGAAGAACCAACATTGTGAAGATGGACATACTCCAAAATTGTTTACAGATTTAATGCAATCCCTATCAAACTACCACCAACATACCTCACAGACCTAGAGAAATCATTCCTAAAATTTATTTGGAACCAGAAAAGACCTAGGATAGCAAAGACAATCCTGGGAAACAAATAGAAGGCAAAAGGCATTACAGTTCCTGACTTGAAATTATACTACAAGGCTACTGTGATAAAATCAGCATGGTACTGGCAACGAAATAGACCTGAGGATCAATGGAATAGATTAGAAGATGTTGAAGCCTCTACCAACACATTCAGCCACCTTATCTTTGACAGAGGGGCCAAACATACTCACTGCAAGAAAGATAGCCTCTTTAACAAGTGGTGCTGAAAAAACTGACTCTCTACATTGTAAAAACTAAAACTTGACCCGGTTCTATCACCATGTACTAAGCTAAAGTCAAAATGGATTAAAGATCTAAACATTAAAACAGAAACACTAAATCTCCTGGAAGAGAAAGTAGGAGGAACTCTTGAAGACTTGGGGTAGGCGAAGAGTTCATGAGCAAAAATCAAATTGCATGGGAAACACTTGAAAGAATTAACAACTGGGACCTCCTCTTATTGAGAAGTTTTTGCATGTCAACAGAAATTACCAACAAAGTGAAAATACAACCTACAAATTTGGAAAAAATCTTGACAAATAAGCACTCAGACAAAGGTCTGCTTCTAGAATTTATAAAGAACTAAAAAACACTAGGGCCCGAAAATTTAAAGACCCAGTCCAGAAATGGGCATCCAAGATGAACACACACTTCTCAGAGGAGGAAATTAAAGAAGTGAATAAATATATGAAAAATGCTCTATATCACTAGCCATCCATAAAATGCAAATTAAAACAACACTGAGATATCATCTCACCCCAGAAAGAATGGCTATCATAAAGAAATCACCCAACAACAAATGTTGGAGAGGCTGTGGGGGAAAAGGAACCCTT